TTTACCTAATGAAGTTTTCTTATTAAATAATTAAAACATGAGATATGAAATAGGACTCCTAAACCTAAAAGGAAGGAAAAATAGTCCTAAATATTAATATAAAAATAATTAAATATTGATTTATACAATAATCATCAGTAAATCCTTATGAAAAAATTGTAAATTAATAAAACTGATATACATGCTTGCTAAAATTGAAGTAATAACAGACTAAGCTTGTTAAACATACTTAACTTTAATCTATATCTATCTATATTATTATAAAAACATGAATACAATGTTGGTTGACCAAAATAGCCCTAAAATATTTTTACAAAAAACAATTACTTGGTGGATAAAATTGTAATATTCCAATGTCATACTAATCCCATTTGGACAATAACACTTTGCAGTAGAATAAATTAGCATAGAATTTCAAATCTTTGTCCGCATAGGAAAGAATCTTCGTCGGACCTTCTCATTCTTTTTTGCCTATAAATCAAAATTATTTTAAACTTAATTATTACTGTATTTTTGCTATAATATTTATACTATGCAATTTGCGTGAATATTATTGAACAAGCGATCTTTACTTATGGGTCATTTAATGGTTATCTTTCTTTCTTCACCAAAGCAATTACTACAGCTTATAGAATCTGCATTCCGTTAATTGCCACTTTGCCAGTGTGGGCACAATATTATTAAAAATTAAATTAGAATTTTGATTGTTTTAGAATTCCATACATCATATTAGTCAAAAATTTAGTAAAATTCATAGTTGTTTTGTACATTAGATAATGTTTAACTAATGTAAAAAATACATTAATGCCAAATGGTTTTAACTAAATCCTGATTTTACAAAATGGCCAGTTGATAATTGAAATGCAATCACCACTTATTTGCATGAAAGATGATCGATGTAAGAACTACTAAATTCGACGTACTAATACATCCATACAACAAAAGGATGGATAATCTATTTATACTAGAGGCAATGGCGAAAAAGGTACAAATATTCGTGGCATGATAATAAATAATCAATAAGTTGTGTCATATAATCTAAGAATGAAATGGATATTGGTTCACTTGATCATAAGTTTTAAGGCACTGGATACCCAATTCCGCTCCTTCAGTTTGGGGCATGATATAAGATAGCCACCACAATACGTGAAAGCAGAATGATGATAATAAATTAATAAAAAAAAATAATATTTTGCGATAAAGCACATACTTCAAGCGTCAAACAATCAAAATGGTTGGTGATATAGAGACACCAATAAATATTTGGTGAAAAAGTGATGATATTTGCAGGAAATTTATTTTGAAAAAAAAAGGTAACAAGTTTGGAGATGATTTTCATTATGTACTATTAGTAGATCCAAAATCAAACGAGAATATAAACTATAAATCTAACCTTAAAATCATGGCATCAAATGAAAAAATTTAGCTAACAAAAATATGAAAACAAAAACAGATTTAACATTCAAAAATTTCTTGCTTCATGTCGAATACGGAGAAGAGCATATAATAAGAGATGATTGTGTCTATTTTGAAGATCCAGTGTCCTTTAGTGACAGTAGTGCCAAAATTGCGTAATAAGGAATAATAGTTTTATCTTAAAAAATAAAAATTATGCGAAATACATGATGGAAAAAAACTCTTTTATCTAGCATAAATGAATAATGTTGATCAACTAAATGAGATACGATTATTAAATTCATAGGTGAAATTAAGAGAAATATTTCTTATTTTTGACTCATCAAAAGATAATATCAACAACTACTATCAAGAAGAATACTTAAAAATTTTAAATGTAATGTTCTTCCACCATATAGAATCTCTAACAAATTTAACTATCTTATATATTCAACATCAATGTATGCATTTTAAGAAACAAATTTAAAATGATCTTTCTTTATATACCAGTTGATTTTGAAAGAAAAAGATTTACCCATCATATCACCGAGGGACGATTTCTCAAATGACTTATCGAATGATATGGAGATGTATTAGAGATTTTAATAATAATTTCATACGTTCATATTGGACCAATATATACTATTAAGCATGTGTTTATCCTCATAATTTAACTTTGGCCGTAAAAAAATGAAGGATATCATTTTAATTTGTCCAAAAATAATTATTATTATTATGCTTGTATTTTGCAATGATAATAAATAATGTATGTGTTCAAATAATCTCCAATGTTGGACTATATATTTGCCGCGACATATTTCCACACATATAATTTATGTTGTACATTCGAAATGAGTATGAAAATTAACAACAAAATGTTTGGTCATCACATAATAGCCAAAGCGACAAAAGAAAACAAACACCAAAAACATCCTCCTCCTTAAAAGTATTAGGTAAGATATGATCAATCACATTTCATATATCTGCATAATAAGTACAAATAATATCTACTTTAACTTAATTGATCAGCTTTATAGGTTCAAATGATATCCATTTTTTATTCAGTATTATACTAATTTAACGATATTGAGTACAATACTTAAATGATATTTGCATTTTTTCAAAAAATTGCTTTATAAGGAGTGTTTTTTTTATTTTATATTGCTTTTTAATAAATTTAATTTATTATATTTTTATATAAACAATTGATTAAAAATTTACGTGCAATGCACATACATAGAAACTAGTAACTTCATAAATATCTCTTACATAGATTGTTATGTTTGATAATTTTTTTTCTTTCTAAGAATTCAAACTCGTGTGTGACCAACAATTCTAGTTGCATTGTAATTTCTAATTAACTATACGTACAATTTTCAAATAATTTCAGTACAATTTTATTTTATTTTGATTTCCTAAATATTAGGAATTTTTACATAGTACAAATAAGGAATACAATAAGGAAAGATTTAATAACCAAAATTATAACTCATTTTAAAATCCTAAATATTAGGAGTATAATTAAATTACAATCTTGTCCAATGTAAATTCAGTTTTAAAAGAGTAAAAAAGGTGAATGATATTTCGCTAAGGGCCTTCGTACTTTTAATATAGAATAGATAAAGATTTTTTTTAAATGTCTTGAAATATTTGGCATTCTCTTACGGGATATAATATTTAATAAACTATAGAGTGCTCCATATTTATTAACCTTAAATAATGGGTGGTATGATCACTTTCTTATCAAGTGTTACTGAAATGCGTCAATCTCTTTGTTCTTCCATATTCATAGGTCAAGATCTATTAAATTCTTATATCATTTTTGAATTTGAAATGGTTATTATTATTTAGGTATCATATTAATTTTTATGTTTAATTACTAAATTTGGTTAACCTCGAAAGTGTACATCGACAAAAAAATATTGTCAGACTACAAAAAAAAACTATCATGTGTTACTAAGTAAATTCTCCCATAAGAATATTTAATAGATAATATGTTTGTCAATTTTTTAAAATTTTTACTAAACATATATTTACTTATAAAAAATTTAACAAAGCAAGATTAAAATAATATTGAAGTAATGAAAAACCAGAAAAATCAAGAAAATCCGCCAAAACAGAACCAATCCAAACCGATATAGTTGATTTGGTTCGGTTTTCAAAACCGAACCAACCCCGTCCATGTACACCCCTAAGTACAAGATAATATATTATGGTGGCAAAATAGTTAAAAAAATTATCTACCCATATTATCCATTAAAAAATGGGCTGGATTACGAACTTCTAAAAACGAGTCAAATATGGATAAGAACCATATTATTCACTTAAAAATTGATAAGCAATGGATAACTAACGAGTTTAACTTATAAATTTGTAAAGCCTCAAATTGGGGTTCCTTAAGTTTGGGAGACTAGGAATTCTCCCAAAAGTGATTATATTCAAGAAGCCATGGATAATATGGATATCCATATTATCCGCCGACTAAACTATTTTTTATCTGTATTAAATATAGGTCAGAACGGATAATTTATCCGTTTTTATGCATTATCTATTTTTGACCCGCCCATATCCGACTTGACCAGGCCATTTGCCACTCTTAATAATATGATACCATCATTATATATCAAACTTTTAATTTTAAACATATCAATATTATGTGATTATAAACAGAACCCATTAAGGATAAAATAAAATATTTAGGTTCCCCTTTGTCCATAGATATTTTTTATTTTTCTCGATTTTTTTCTTTTCAAAAATGTATTTGTCTATGACATATTGCAATTTTTTTGAAAATGAGTTTTTCAAAAATCAAAAAGTAATTTTGACTACTTTTTTAAAATTTTTAGACATAACTGCAATATTTTTTCAAGTGAAATATATATCCAAATATAATTTCAAATTCAAAATACTATTTTCAACTTAACTCCAAATACTATTTTTTCCCTCAAAAATTACAATCTTTATGTCAACCGCCTACTTGAAGTGAAATAGTTTTGAATATAAAATGTAATATTTCTTTTAAATAAATATAAAAAAAATAATACCACATGACTGGAACTGTTGTATTTCCCCAAGATTACTAGATTAGTACCGTAGGAGTTGCTTGTAAAAGTTGGTCAATGTTTTTTTTTCCGTCTTTGCTTGTCCTTTTCTGAGTATAATAATAATAATAATAGTAATAATAATAATAATAATAATAATAATAATAATAATAATAATATAATATAGTGCAAAAATAATCCAACATCATTTCTCGTTTTTGAAGCAAATAGCCCGTTTAGTCAAGCTATTTTTTGGCCAAAAGTATTTTTTTTGGGTCAAAAGTACTTTTGGTCAAAAATTGAGGTGTTTGACTTTTGGAAAGAAAAAAAGTATTTTTGAGAAGAAGCAAAAACAATTTTGAAGAAGGGAAAAAAAATAGCTTCTCTCCAAAAGTACTTTTTTAAGAATTACTTTTAAAAAAAATACATTTCTCAATATAAGCTGATTTTTGCACGGCCAAGCGGGCTATAAATCATGTTCAAAAAATTTCTGAAAAAACCCGCAATAAAATTTACTCCACTACTGTAACTGGTTTTTTTTGTCAACGCAATAAAGAATAGACAGACAGCAAATGTTTATATTCAGCAGCACAGAATAGTTGTACTTGTCCACATTGTCTCACTTTCTTGATTTGCTGACCCAAAAAATAGTTGAACCCCACAAACAAAATCTCCGCTAATTCCCATTACTATGATTTGCCGGAAAATTAATCAGGGTAAGCTCCGGAATTCCTTCCGGCAGAGTATTTGCCGGTGGTTTCAGTCTTCTGTTGCACCGGTGGCAGCTCCGATGACACCTGTTAGTACTGTAAGCAGCAGTGGCAAGAAAATTCAGTCTCAACTTCATTTCTTTGGAAACTATACGACACCGTTTTGCTCATTTAAGGTGACAATTTAGTTTGCTTTTGTTTTATCCTTTTTCAAGATTATTTTAGGTAAGTGAGTGTGTTCATAAGCTTTTTACCATTAATTGTATGTCAGAGTACTTTGCTTTAGTAGTGGATTCTGAGTGATGTGTGCACACTTTTGTTGAACTTGTCAAACTGAATATTCGAAAGGGTAATTTTCCAGTGCTTTTTTGTTTTGCTTTTTGTTTCTTTTTAGTTTGTTCCTTTCAACCCCACCCCCTTTTTCCTCACATGGGATGTGATGAATATCAAGATTCTAGGCTATGTGATATTAAAGCTACATGAATTAAGTAAATTGGTTTCATACTGACCTTAGAGAAATGCTGCAACCTATATAGGATTGTAGATTTTGATGTGGCTGTAATCTGGCATTTTTAACCTTCCCCGGAGCCTGCGGAAAGCGGGATGCTTTGTGCGGCTAACCTTTATCTATTCAAGTAATAGGCAGAATTGGAATTTGTGCAGATTAGTTTCTAAAGTTGGTGTTTCTTTTCATCCAGTGGTGTTAAGATTAAGGATCATCGGTAGCGTTTTGGTCAGATCATGGAATTTGTTCCCTCATTTAATGTTTACTTGTTCTATTTCTACAACATGTTCTGTCTGTTTCGCATCAGTTCCTCTTGAACCTATCAAAAGTTCTTGAGGCAGGTTTTATGCAATATTTTTTGAGAAGTTATTTTTTCCGTAGGTTAGCAAAACTCTGGTTTCTGTTGTTTTTACTTATTGTTTATGCCAATATTTCTTTTGCAGTCGAATGTTTCCTTTCCTCTGAGAGGGTGTAGTTTTTCAACTCAAGCTGCATTGGATCTTTCTACTGGTGGGGTAATTGATGTACCTTTGGCGCAAACTGGTGAAGGCATTGCTGAATGTGAACTTCTCAAATGGTTTGTTCATGAGGTTAGTGGATGTTTCGTGTTAATATAATAGGGTATTTCATACCATACTGTTCTTCTTTAGTAAATGATTTTCAGCTATATTACTAAAAACATGCAATTGGACTCCCAACTGCTTGACTTTTTTTTTAAAATTAAACTTGATGTGAGGAATTTGAAGCCAATCATACCTTGAAGTAGAATTTACATGCATCTTTATGCCCTTACTTGTTTAGCAAACTGCAGTTGATGTTTAGCTCCTCATGATTTTGGCCATTACCCTGTTGGTCCTTATAATCTTCTCTTATTAGAAGTTATCAAGTACTACCCATTGTTTTCATTTGCGATTTGGCCGTACGAGTTAGTATATGCTGGATTCTTGTTTAAAATTCTCTTAGCCTTTAATGGCTCTGCCCATTTTTTATTATCTATAATTTGGTGGGATGAGTTAAGTATGCTGGGTTCTTGTTTAAGAATTTCTCATAGTCCTTTAATCACTTGTCGAGCAGGATTCTAACAGCATGGTATTCCAGCATTAAAACATCTGACTTGGGAGTACCTGCTTCTTTCCCCTCTTGTCTCTCTGCCTTTTTTCACTTCTCCTATTTCCTCTTGTTGGATTGCTGACTTTGCGCTGATTAGCTCATAATTACTACTTTACTAGTCTATGAAGCATTTTATATAATACATTCTGATGATTTTCTTTTTTTTTTGGGCAGGGGGACCAGGTTGAAGAATTTCAACCTCTTTGTGAAGTTCAGAGTGACAAGGCAACCATTGAAATAACAAGTCGTTACAAAGGAAAAATTTCTCAAATTCTTCATGTTCCCGGCAACATTGTAAAGGTACAACACACACAGTGCGTTCACTGTGTACCAACCACACTGAAATTCTTCTGGTATTTAATCTTTCGTCTTAAGGATTTGGTTGTTTAACTGCACTTTAATAATGAGATCAGGAAGTAGTTGGAAATGTTAATCTCATACTGTCAAATAGGTTTTTTTAAAAGAATGATGAACTTCCATCCAGTTTGAAGATACCCTCACATGTTTGAGCAAAGAAGATGGAGAATAGGCTCACTTTTAAAAGATCAGCTACATAGAAAACCACTTTTTATGTGTGGTGTGCTTTTGGAACTATGCTTGTAAGAAAAATTGAGCAAAAATGTCGTTCATAAGAAGAAATGAGTACTTTTTGCATTATATCATTTTCTCTGCCAAATTTTGTAGGTTGGAGAAACACTTTTGAAGATCGCCGTTGATGACATTCCTGAGCCTGCTGAGACTTCTGATGCTTCAGAAAAGATGACATCGCTGGACTCTGATTTTATTGGCTCAAGTGATATCAGTTCCGTGCCCGAAAAATCCAAGATTGATGGAGTGTCATCTACACCTGCTGTCCGCAATCTTGCAAAGCAGTATGGTTTAGACATAAATGATGTGCCTGGAACTGGTAAAGATGGAAGGATACTTAAAGAGGATGTTACAAATTATGCAATGCAAAAAGGACTAATTAATGAAGCACTAGAATGTGCACAACAAAAACATTCAGAGGTTTCATCTCTCATTGGAGGGGGATATGAAGATAAGACACTTCAGCTAAGGTTAGTTTCTACCATAAAGAGAATTCAAATTCACTAGCTCACTTTACTATTTCCATATGGGGTGTTGTTTTTCATTTGTTAGAGACGTTCTTTGAACAAAATTTTGTTGATAGAAAGCGTGTTCTTTGAACAAGTTTCTTCAAGTGTGTTGTGAAATTGAGAAGTACAGTACCAGAATAAAGAATCAAACTAGAAAAGCATGTGTTGCTTGCATGTCGCTTTTAATCTCTAGATTCAACAAATTTTAAAGTTGCAGTAAGAGTTCCAGATGAGCTGGTTACAGATTTCTTTTCAGTTTTCTAGTAGTCCATATTCCATACTACACAACTTTTTCCAGGTTTTTGTCTAAAGCTTCTAACAACTCTTCTCCCTATTTGGTGAAATGCTTAGATATATTTCTTACCCAAGTAGTTCTCCATCGATGTGAAATGTGTGGTTGCAAAATTTAGATGCATATTCCTTTACAAGGGAGGTATTGCATTCTCTGTTCTACTCATAGTTTGCTATTTGATCCTCACTCTACAGGGGATACCAGCGTGCCATGGTTAAGTCAATGACATTAGCTGCGAAAATTCCACATTTTTATTTTATAGAAGAGATGAATTGCGATGCACTTGTGGAGCTCAAAAAATCATTCCAGAATGAGAATTCTGATCTGGAGATCAAGCACACTTTCCTTCCTGTCCTAATAAAATCACTTTCCATGGCTTTAACTACTCATCCCATGCTAAATAGTTGCTTCAGTGAGGAATCCTATGAGGTCATCCTAAAAGGTATATCAATGCAAAATTCTTAATTTTCAATTTCAAGTGTTCCAGTGTTCATTGATAGTAAAAATAGCTCGCTTTACATGATTTTGTGTTATATGCTGCTACTATATTTCCTTTTCTTCATTCACACATTCTTCGTCCCTATTAATGATACTCTTTTCTTCCCACGACCTAGGGTCCCACAACATTGGAATAGCAATGGCTACTCCAAATGGTTTGGTTGTTCCAAACATAAAAAATGTTCAGTCTCTCTCAATCTTGGAGGTGAGTTGGCATCTGTTATCCCAGTAAATTCAAATCTTGCCATAGTCTACACTACTGAAATTGACATTTCTATATGCTGTTTTTACCCCTCATATAATTACATCTCCACATTGCTTGTTATAGTCTATTAAGCGTAGGAAGATATTGGAGGCTGAGATTACTAATAGAAAAGGTCTAAGAAGTGTGGAAGTTCCTTTTTTCAACAAAACGGAAGTGTAGAAATTCCTGGTTATTCTGTGGATTCTTGTGTTTGCGTATTACTTTAATATCATATGATGTGGGTACAGCCTTATTCTTTATGAGTGTGTAAATTATTATTGAAAATCAAGAAATAGAAAGAATGTTTAGTTTGATCTGAACAAATAGAGAAGTTGTTAAGATATATTTAGGAGGAATTGATGAAGGAGGATCTAATGGCAGTGAAGCTTGGCAAGTTTATTGATGCCTTTTGTGATTATCTTTGAATCGATCTGGTTTTACATGTTCAAAATTGCAACTCCTCTCATTTGAGTGTTTAAGCCAGAGAATAAGGTTACGATTGGAAGAGTCTCAGATGTGGGCATTTTGGTCCTGGTGGAAATTTTGCTCAGCTCGAAATGTGACAATTTCGAGTCGATAAAGATCATTATAGTGAAATGAAATTGATAGAAGCACTGCTTCTCTATTCTGTGGTGTTGGGAGTACAGAACTAGAAGATGAATCTGCTGTCACTAGTTTGAGTAACTGATGAAAGAGTTTCATATAAGTGTTCCAGACTTTATGAAATGGGAAAAAGGAGGAGGATACGTAAAACTTGTGCACAAAAGGAGTACATTGATAATTATGTTGCTTCCACAGATAACCATGTTTATTAGTTGAGGGATGACCGGAAATCCTTGGTTTAGTACATTTAGTGCAATATCTTGCTCGTTCTCTTCAACACTAGCAACCTCTTATATATTTTCTGCGTCTGATTCTTACCATAGTGTGGAAGGAAGAAATTTTATGGCAGGTGTAGCTCAGGACTTGGTCTTTTCCCTTTCCTCCCTTTTCCTTTTCCTTGACTTGGTCTTTTCCCTTTCCTCTCTTTTCCTTTTCCTTTTCCTTGTTGACAACAACAACAACAACAACAACAACAACAACCAAGTATAATCCCACAAGTGGGATTTGGGGAGGGTACTGTGTACGCAGACCTTACCTCTACCCTGATGGGGTAGAGAGGCTGTTTCCGATAGACCCTCGGCTGTTTCCTTTTCCTTGTTGACACTAATTTTCAAAATAGTATCTTAATCAGTTCTTTTCAAGACAAGCAACCTGTCCACATTTTCTGCACCTGACCCGTCTTACCATAGTGTGAAAGGAGGCTGAGAAAACTTTTGACTATGAAATCTCAGAACGAGACTTTTCCCTCTCCACATCCCCCCCCTCCCCCCCCCCCCCAACCAAAAAAAAAAGAAAAAAAAAGAAAGAAGAAGTGATAAGTGCTATTTTCCATAGTCCAAGATCAATTCCTTTTATCTTTTTGCTGTATCTATTTACACTACTAAATGCATGTCTTTGCTTCCTTTTGAGCGGAGTTGTTAACTGAATATATGTTTTCTGCTACAGATAACAAAGGAACTGTCACGACTGCAGAAATTGGCTAAGATAAACAAGCTTACTCCTGATGATATATCAGGGTCAACTATTACTCTAAGCAATATTGGAGGAATCGGTGGAAAGTTTGGTTCCCCACTTATAAATTCACCTGAAGTTGCCATCATAGGATTTGGCCGGATTCAGAAAATTGCACAGTTTGCTGAAGATGGGGATGTATATCCTGCATCAGTCATGACGGTATGTTGTGGTTTAAAGACCTTCACGATGCACCCCTCACACATTAATTGTCATGCAATGCATCAAAACCAGACGTTTTCGTTTCAGTATCTCATATAGGATGTTTCCATTTTTTTCAGATAAATATAGGTGCAGATCATAGAGTTCTTGACGGAGCAACTGTTGCGAGGTTCTGCAATGACTGGAAAAAATTTGTTGAAAAGCCAGACCTCCTGCTGTTGCACACAAGATGAATTCTCGTCCCTGGAAGTTGATCGGAAAGAATGTAAGTCTAGTCTAAGCTAAAGGCTCATATTGTTGGTGCCTTCCTTCTCATTGTTGGTGCAAAGATCAATTGGAGCTTATAGGTGTCTTGAAAGAAAGAATCACTAATCTAATAAACCACAGTGTTAGCATTCAATGCAACCAAGTTATTATCTATATAGCTGTTGCAACATTTCCTCTAATTTTTTGCTGTCATTTGTGGTAGTCAGCTTCCTCTTCTATAAAATGTTAGACCTGCAAACATTGTTCAAGTTAAAGGAAATTTTCTTACTAGTAAATCCGTTGCATAAGAGGGACATGTTATTGTTGAATCGAATGCTCTTGAAAAAAAAAGTCGTGCTTTGAAAAACAGTTGTTTTGTTCCCTAAAACAACAGTTTAATTGTTTCTGTAGTTCAAAAAGGTAGATGCTTTTTGCTGTTTAAAAATTTAAAAAATAATCTGGTAACACGACAAAATTTTGTTCTTCTAGACAAATTCAAATACACACATTTTACTTTTCAAAAAAATAAACCTAAAGCAAGATTTCACTAAAAGTATTCTAATCTTAACGTCAGAATGTTAGCGCGGCATGTTTATTGTTTGAAGTAGATTTTGGCTGTTTCAGCTTGACTACTGATTCTGTAGTCTTAGTAGCTAGACAACTTGTGAGAGTGTGTTCCATTGAGAATTCGGCGGGGCAAAAATGATCAAACCATGTACTTCAAGGTTGGTTTAAGGGTCAAAAGAGAGCCAGAGGAAAAAGAAAGAGTGAAGGTTGTAACTTATTAAGTATATTGCAAATTCCTTTAAGTTGTAGACTAGAATAGAGCTTCTTTTAGAGGAGGGATAATACTTGTAAACTTTTCTTAGAAGAGCACATTTCAGCAATCTGGATGATATTACTACGGCTTGAATCAAGTAGATGTTGTAGTTGTGGTTTTAGCTGCCTTTCCCATTGGCATTTGAATTAGTAAAGCATCCAAAGAGTTGCTTTAACTTTAGATTCCACAGCTATAGTTAAAGTCCGTCTCAAGCTACATCTAGTTCTAAGTGATGTTATCTAATCATCATTATGGGCTCTCTAGTTTACTCAACCAGGCTTATGTTGTTTTTCTTTCTGGACCTTTTCACTCTGCACGGGACAGAATCTTTGTTCCTGGCTAGAAAACATGGAAAACTTTGAAACTATTTTCCGAAAGTGAAACGTGAGGCAGGAGTAAAGGTTAGTTACCTGTCCATGGAGTAAGAGAATCTGGGATGACAAACACTATATGAAGATGATAACAACAACAACAAACCTAGCTTAATCCCATACATGGGGTCTGGGGAGGGTAGTGTGTGCGCAACCTTACCCCTATTCTATAAAGGCAGAGAGGCTGTTTCCGATAGACCCTTGGCAAAAAAAAAAAAAAAAAAAAACACTATATGAAGATACTTTTAAAGAAATCAGTCACGAGAATTAGACACTTTAGAAGGGTATTTCAGGTATCAAAAGGTTCATCACCTTAACCATACTATGTCTTTAAAACATTTACACATTCACTAGAGGGCTTAAGCAATCAAATGAGAAAATAAGACACTTACAGAGAGTGTCAGCAACATCAACAGATATAAGTCACATCCAATCCAAAGCAGTACTAAACACAAATGATATAACTACTGAATTTAGCTTTACTATATATCTTTAATCACAACTTTATGATCGGATTCAGATGGGTCCAAGGTGATCACCCTCCAAGCTGACAAGTGCTAGTAATTCCTTCCCTTCCTCCTTATACTCTGTTCCAATCACAATGCAACGCACCACTGTATCTTTCTCAATTCTTGACATCTTCTCATTCATAAATATGGGATTTTCCCCATGCACATACTTATAATCTGACATCATCTTATTAGATAGGTAAATATTGTCTGCGGGGCCAGTTTTCAAAAAGACGCCGTGCTTCAAGATCTTGGGAATAACCCCTTCCAAGATCTCTCCGCGAAACATCTTGAAGGTAATGCAGCTGAATTCTACAGGGAAAAGCACATCACCAGCCATCTGTTCTCGAACTTTTCCTTCTCCAATGCAGTGACTGCTAAAAAGTAACCAAGATTCTTTGAGGCTTTCTTGGAAGCAAAATCTTTCAAGAGGCGAATGACAATCTCCTTCTGAAGCGTTAAACCTTCAACGTCAAGATTCTCAGCAGGGATTATTACGTTCCACGACAACCGAGATTTCAGAAACATTTTCAAATGACCTGTCACAAATCAAAACACATTGGGCAATGGTCAATGAAGATCGGGCTACGCTCACTTCGTATACACCGTAAGAATAAACAACAATAACAACAACATACTCAGTATAGTCCCACAAATGGGTCCTTATCCCTACCTTCTGAAGGTAGAGAAGCTGTTTCCGAGAGACTCTCTGCTCAAGAAAAGCAAATCACAGCAGTCGTGAAAAGGAAATACAGTGGAGAAGAATCCATGTAAAGAGCTAGAAGTACATCCTAAGAATGGAACATCAAAATACTAAGGATTTACATGCTATATGTACCTAATTCTTAGCATTGACATCTTTTCCTCAAGTTAGTTGCAAAAGAGTGGCTTGAAACATCACAGAAAACCCCAGGATATCACACAAATTTATTCCCAGGTGTTACAGTTTATCACCTAATACAAGAATGATGTTGGACTATAATAAGTGTACAAGGTAGGAGGCACAAAGAGGATAGAAGAGGGAGATAAACATAAACCATAATATATCTTATTCTGAAAGACTCCATTCTTATAAATTATAAGATAACATTACAAAGGGTGCTTTTATAGGTGCTACTAGTCTGTAGACATATTTCTTCACACCTCTTTCATGCACTCTATGAACCAAGCCACATTGATAAATGATAATATAAAAGTCTACCTAAATAATGCAAATTCATGCACCTAAGATAACTAAAAAGACATATGAATCTAGACATTTGAACATTTAAGTTTACTATTTTCAACAAATGCAGGAATCAGCTATTGCAACAGCTACAATGCATCCCTTCATCTCTAATAAGAGTATTTCAACCATTTTCTTTTCTGAAGATAATAATTCAAAGTGAATATAGGCAACTCTTTTTCAGCTAAACAAATATCATTAACATTAGTGAAATAGGTGTAATCGTGGTAAGAGAGAGAGAGATTCAAACCCAGTTTAAAAACAAAAGCTTACATAGCAATTCCAAAGGTCAGTATAAAAACTAAGTCCATATCTCTTATACAATGATTATGATCCAAAAAAAAAAAAAATGAAATAATTTGGAGGCAGCCTTATTGAAAGCTGCCTACGCTTTCAATATCTTCCCATCCTTCTCCCTACGCTTTTCATGTTGAAAGCAGCTCAACTTTGAATTTATCAAATGCCCTTATTTTATTAGTTTCCTAAATTAGTAACATTTTCCGACGTTCAATCAAAATAAGTGCATATGGTATGAAGAAAAATATCCTATAGCACCCAAAGATGTGGTCTAGTGGTCAATGAAGTGAGTTGAGAATTAAAAGGTCTCAGGTTCATATCCTAGCGGAGGCAAAAAAACACTAGGTGTAGTTTTTTTCCCATCTGCCCAAGCCTTGGGACATGTTACCTGACAGTTGTGCTGGTGGGAGATATCAAGTTCGAGGTGCGCGCAAGCTAGTCCGGATACCATAAATATGAAAAAATCGAAACTTTGTCTCACTATCTAACAATCTAAAATTTAAAAACCCTTTCAAATAGACTATCGAAGAAAACCATAAACTAAGAAAGTCATTTTTTCCCTTTTAATGAAGAAGTATACACATGGAAGCGGAAAAGCTCAGTCATTTCAGGAACAGCTTCAGAAAGTGCAAACTATGAAAGGGTAACATGATCGAAAAACTCAAAACAGCAAAAACTAAGAAAAGAACAAGAAGAAATTAAAAGGTCGTATCTTGGACAATATTATTAATACTGGCTTAAGCGTAAAATTATAAAATGGTGTCAAGTATAAAAATGCAGTTTTCTCTTTAGGGATGTCCAACAGAGAGAAAAAATAGAGGAAAGAAGCTGTAGAATTGAATTATCGATGCTTGCTAACAAATAAAGAGAAAGAATTTGAAAGAATTAGATAAAATGCACAAGAAGAAAAAGAGAGAATATATATGGTCGCTCTTTGGAAGGAGGAGGAGGGAAAGGACTAACCTTTGCTGTGGGAAGCAGAGTGGTGAGTTTGGTGCTACTCTTTTTTATATTTGGCAATCCAAACGGAAAACTTCTATAATTGGAAATTAACGGAGCTTTGAGGCATCCGTTTTGTTTCTCTAGCAGCGGAATAATACTAGTACTAGTCCTTCCTTACATGCAAATGTTGTGTCTACAGACTACAGACTCTTTTTTTTTTTTTTTGTGTCAACAAATTTAAAATAACTTACTCTATGTGTTATAAGGAATATTAAATAACTAGTAAGCATCTGCATATTTCCATTTTCTTCTCTACAGCAAAACATCTCCTCATTCAGAGAGTAGTAATCTGCAATAATTTTACGTTATATTTGAATTAAGATTGAAGCAGAAGTGAAAATGTAAAGCCTTTTTGGTTGAGTTTTCACCAAGGCTGTAGATAGTTTATATATAGCAACAAATGTACCGCAGTAGCCTAACTGACCTGACTTATAGGAATTTGAATTAATGCTGTATTTTGTCCCGGGCCCGGGCGTTAGTGGGCCTAACGGGCCAGGCCTCGCGGTCCCGGGCTTCGTGGTCCTGGGCTCTGGCGGTCCCGGTCTTCGTGGGCTCAATGGGTGGAACCGGCCCGTGACGGGCCTAAGCCCACATGGTCCTGTGCTTAACGTGCCGGGCTCGTGGGCTTCGCGGACCTAGCGGTTTTTTTTTCTTTTTTTCAAGACAATTTATTGTACTATCATGGCTATATTAAAAATATATATGTAGTATATATGTATATCTAATTATTAAAGTGCTTGACGAAAAAGAAAATAACAAAACAATAGTAAAACACTAAATTGTCATGCATAATATATTTTCTTGTAGTATATTATATTGTATCTTATGTATATATATTCTCTTATATATTTTCTTGTAGTATATATATTGTATCTTATGTATATAT